TTCAACAATTTAAAGAAGTTATTGAAGCACTTAGTCAAGATCAATGACCTAATTTACATCGAGTAATACCATTGCGACAATGTTTAATTATTAAATGCGAAATTACTGAAGAAGATTCAATAGCAATAGCTGAATTAAAATTATTTTTAGGTGAGCAAAATCAGGCTAAGTGCTTTCACATTGTTGCACTTGATGAAAAGTTTACTCGATACATGTGCTTTTTTATTTTTACAGTTATGCTTTTGAATTTTAGCTCATCGAATGAAAACTGTTGGCTTATTACAAATGAACATCGACTAGCAATAATTCTTTATCCAAAATTAAAGAATTTTGAAAGTTGCTATGATGAGAAAGAACGTGCAATTTCTACATTAAAATTAGCATTTGACAAATATCAATTGAATAATTCATCATCTGCTTGTGTATTAGGTTCTAATCAAGTTATTTCACCCATTTCTTCAAATACTAATACAAATATTGTATCATTAAAAGTTAAAAACACTCTTAACTCAATGCTTTGGTGCAATGATTAATTCCAATATTAAAAAGCCAAATCCACATCAAGAAATCGAAGATTATATAAATTCTGAATTTTCATATAATTATAATGAAAATGAACGTGAAGATGATGATATTGATATTTTATCGTAGTGGAGGGGCAAACAAAGTCAATATCCAGTGTTATCAGCTTTAGCTAAAGAAATTCATGCTATTTCCGCATCCAACACCATTATTAAAAGATTCTTTTCAGCTTCAAAATCCACGGTTATTGAAAAACGAACGAATTTGGCTTCAGAAAAACTGAATCACCTGCTATTTTTACAAAAAAATTTCACTTTATTAAAAAAAACTCTCTCAAGAAAATAAAAGAAAAAGAACAATTTTCATGTCATCAACAAATACAATGCCATTTGAAAATTTGACATGTACTATGCCATAACTATCAAGAATTGGTGATGATAACAATTATAGTAGTTCTGATAACATTGAAATACTTTTTGATTAATTTTATTATGTTTCCATATAGTTGGCAATTCGAATGTTATAATTGAAAAATGATCTATTTATTTTTTTTTGTCTTAAAACTAACTCTTAATTTATGCAATAAGTGTTGTCTTTTGTTCTTTTGATTATCAGCATGAAAAATTAAGTTATTGATTAATGGAAGAGCAAAAATTAGTCATAGATTGTTATAATTTCGATTTCTATTTGACTTCGAAAAATTTTTCAGTAAATCCGATTCCGAATTCGACTCCGAAAATTTATGTTTTGTTGACTCCGACTCCAACTCCGACGGGGTCGGAGTTATAATCGAGATTCGGAGTCCTCCGCAGATCTCTTATCATCACAAGATAATATTACAATTCTGTGGTTAGAATCTTTATTATCACGTAATAAAAAATATTTAGCACTGTTGGTTACTTTAAGTTCATCAGAAAGCAATGTTTTATCACATGGACATGATCTTGATAATGGTAAGTCCTGTTTTTTTCTTTCTCTTTTGATTGTACGTTGTGATGATGTATAAAATGGAAAGCTGTTCTGTCATCTTTACTAATTGATAAATGTGCTTCATTAATAACATAGCGAGGTGGACAATGGTATTTTGTTGAATCCTCAACTATCTTTGATTTAGATTGAATTGAAATAGTTTCCTCAACAACTGTTAAATGATTGTGATCTGTTACTGGAACATATTGAAAACCATGGAAGCGTGCGTGGTCAGCATAGTTATTTTTTACAACAACGTCAAATATATTGAGATTTATTAGCAAGTCGATAATGAAATTCATCTAATAAAAGTTGATTGTTGCCTTTGGAAGAGCTTACAATCGACATCATAGAACTGTACAGATGCGCATATACTAGCAAACGTGGAACGATAACATCATATATGCGTGCATAGAACAATTGTGCATCTCTGTAATGATTACTACTTTACGACTGACTATAAGAATCAACGAATCATGAACAAGATAAGATGGCACCAGGTGACACACACTTTTAAAGAGATAAGCAGGTAATTGAATGATGAGTTTTCAGAGTTAATCAATGAGCAGGGACTCAACAGTCGGGTCACCAATGAAATGCATCATGTTTCGTCTCTTACACATGGTTTGGTAGCGTAAGCAGATCGACATAAGAAAGGAAAGAAAATTTTTAAGACTTTGACACACACAAATAAAATGTATGACGAATGCGCTTATACGTATTCTGATCGAAATGCTTATTGCTCATGAGGACACATCGAAATATACGTTGACGACTGCTTAGATGTCTGTTTTTTTCTGAAATCATTTAGACGCTATCAAAAGCTTTTCTTTTGCTGCACTAAGATTCAATTCTACTCAAAAGTATAGTTGAAAGCAACTCTTCTATTGTGTCTGAGTTATATCCAGATTCTTTCGTTTCTTCCACTTCTTGGCTGATTATGTTCTTAATATATTTTCATAAAAACTCACATTGAGCTTCATATTTGAATTAAAGTGAGTATTCTTCCCTAACATTCAAGTTTCTTTATATATTGCAAAATTTAATCACTACGTTGAAAGCATGTGATATATAAGAACGAAATTCATTTCGTTGAAAGAAATGGTGATAATGATACCTAAAGAACTACTATTGTTGTAATATCGTTTTTACCTGAGTGTTCTATATATTCCAAAATTTTGAAACCCATGCTCATTTATTCCCATTTGAGAAAATAGCTTAGTTTTCACAACTTTGTGAGATAAACACAAACATGAGAAGATTTGCCCTATGAAATTATTTGTATTTATATTCTTTTTCATGCAATGCTAGTAATTTATATTTTAAATTATGGGTTATCAAGAATAGTCGTGTTTAAAAAAGTTCGAAATGCTGAAAGCTTTAAAAATCCTATGCATAATATATAATATAATTTTTTTAGGTTTCTGAATAAAAAAAATGTGTGTTTCAGGTTGCCGTTCGAGATCTAGTCTCGCACACTATAATGAAATGGTCTCCATTATTCATAATACTATTTGTACTTGTAACTGGAAATATATTCAAATTTATCTTATCTATGTACAACGAAAAATAGGTATTTTCACATGTTACTAGGACTTGAAATAGTTAGCTCCATATAAAATAAAGGTATTTAGATACAAAAGTAAAACCAATTCGATTAAAACGCATCTAACTTACCATTATTCCCAGTAATGAATGCATTCAGATGTGAAAATATAACTGTTCGTGTTGAAACACTTTTACAAACTAATTTAAACCACTATCGAAATTTTTTAAAAAGGCAGGTGAAAGAAAGTCATATAACTTTTCATTGAAAAGTGATATCGATCTGCGGTTTTCAGCGTTCCATAGAGGAGGATCGGGGGCAGATACCTATGTGGAAAAGTGATCATTCGAAGCATTTTGGTAGGGAACTTTCGCCGACGAAATTAAGCATGTACTAGCGAACTTCTTTTAAGGGCTTTTTTTTATTATGTATATAATATAATTTTTTTAGGTTTCTGAATAAAAAAAATGTGTGTTTCAGGTTGCCGTTCGAGATCTAGTCTCGCACACTATAATGAAATGGTCTCCATTATTCATAATACTATTTGTACTTGTAACTGGAAATATATTCAAATTTATCTTATCTATGTACAACGAAAAATAGGTATTTTCACATGTTACTAGGNGACTAGCAAAAATTCTTCATCCAAAATTAAAGAATTTTGAAAGTTGTTATGATGAAAAAGAAAATGCAATTTCTGCACTGAAATTGGCATTTGACAATTCTCAATTGAATACTTCATCATCTTCCACTTGTTTATTAAATTCTATTGAAAATATTTCAATGTATTCTACAAATAATGATACAAATAGTACAACATTAAAAAGTAAAAATCTTTTAACTCAATGTTTTGATATTAAAGTTAATCCAAATGTTAAAGCACCAAATCCACATCAAGAAATTGATGATTATTTAACTTCAGAATTTACTTATAATTATGATGCAAATTATTATAAAGATGGTGATATTGATGTTTTATCCTACTGGAGAGAAAAACAAAATCAATCACCAGTGTTAGCATGTTTAGCTAAAACAATATATGCTATTCCAGCATCCAATACCATTATCGAACGATTATTTTCGGCATCGAAAAACACAGTTAGCGAAAAACGAACCAATTTGGGTTCGGAAAAACTTAACCAGCTGTTATTTTTACAAAAAAATTTTATTTTATTGAAACAACTCTTCTATGAAAATGGAAGAAAAAGAACTATTTCGATGTCATCGACAACAACAATATCATCTGAAGATTCGACATGTACCATGCCGAAACAATTAAAAATTGATGATGAAGAAAATTATAATCCTTCTGATGACATTGATATATTTTTTGATTAATTTCATTATATTTTCATGTATATGATCTACAGAATGTTATGACTAAAAGGTGATCCATTTGCTGTTTTTTTGTCTTAACATTCATTCTTACTCTATGTAACAAGTGTTGTCTTTTGTTCTTTTGTTTATTAATATGAAAAATAAAGTTATTGATTTATTTAAAAGCAAAACTTGATCAAGGTAGTTTTCATTTCGACTCCGATTTGACTCCGAAAATTTTTTTTAGTAAACCCAACTCCGACTCCGACTCCGAAAATTTTTATCTTCTTGACTCCGACTCCGACTCCGAAAATTTTTCTTTTCTTGACTCCGACTCCGACTCCGACTCCGAAAATTTTTCTTTTCTTGACTCCGACTCCGACTCCGACGGAGTCGGAGTCGGAGTCGGAATCGGGTTTCGGAGTCCTCCGCAGGTCTCTACTTGACAGGCCGTACAGGCCTGAAAAACACGGCCTGGTTGGACCTCTGCTGTGTTCGTATGTGTAAGGGAAGCGGCAGTGTTGGCTATTATTGTTCGTCGAAATCTAACGGTGTTCCAAGTGCATCATTTAATAAGATTATAATTGGATGTGGCAGTGA